ATAATTTGTTTATTACAAAGTATTCTTTCAAAATTTTTCCTGCAATTTGAATAAAAGTGAGCAAACAAATTTATCAAATGTTTGAAAAAAATTCAATCATTTAGTCAAACTCAGCTTGGGCCCTACTTCAAATGATTGAAATGAAAACACAAATGTTTGCTTTTGATCAGTCTTCGGCTCATAGACTGCTAAAGCACATTCTAAATCTGATCTAAACAAATTCAGATTCCCACTACTCTCAGAAAGTCGTCTCTTTTTCAGTCCATCTTGTTTTCTGAGTCTAGACATCGCAATTGCGTGAAAGAAAAAAGCGCTTGCAGTTTGATACTGAAATGAATAATAATAATAATAAGAATCCGTTTTTGCAATTAATGAACTTGCACATATGAACGGTATCACAGCACTGAATTATTTTGCCGCGATTGTTTTTAAATCGAACAAACTTCTTGTGATTTTTCTCATCAAATTATTGCAAATTTTTGTCACAAAGTCAATACAAAAACTCATTTAAGACATTCAAAATAATACCTTCTGAACTGACTCTTTATTTGGAGCTTTTGCTAGGAACTAAAACTTTAAGCTAAGCAATGGCAAAGAGGAAAGGAAAACACCATTGCTTGTACGAACTGTAAAGTTTATGCCTATGATGCAGCTATGTCGATTATGCTAATTTTCATGGCAGCAAATCTTTCATTTTGTGGTCAATTGCAAGTTCTAAAACATCGTCAATCTTTCATGATCATCAAAGAAGATAATTAATAATAATTCGTAATTTGTAATTTAAGACTTAGTTAACTCAATTACACTGATTTTCAAATATTAACGTTTCTTTGTATTTACTGCTGTTTTCGTTTTTTATATTTGTGTTTGTATTTGTTTTTGTGTTTGTTTCTGTGTCATTTGGATGTTTTGCTGGGCAGCTCTCGTATTGTTTAGTTTGTTTGAATTTGCCTTGCTTATCTAGATTATTCAAAAATATATTGTCTAAGCCACAATTACCAGTTAATTTCTTTTCATATTATCCGATTTTGGCTGCGCATTGAATAAGATACGTTATCGATCAGTTTCTTTCCGACAGATTTATGTTTTTTTATAGGAAATTTATTCATTCATATTACAGTTTAATTCATTTGTTGCAACTCTGATAGCTATAAGCCTTTCTGTTCCTTCAATTTTAAGATATTTAATTAGAGTTTCAATGATAATATACGGTAATATCAGTTTAATTTGATATTAAATTACAGTTAATTTTCAGTTTTTACAAAGAAACTTTAATTTGACGAGAAAGAATTTGTGATTAAGAACAATCATTGTTGCATTATTAAATGCATAATAGTAATGGATAACGGATAAATAACAACAAATTAATCAAAAACAATATAATGTCAAAGAAGAATTGCACTTTTTCTCATATAGTAAGAAAAATATGCCTGAGATTAACTGATCTCTATTTTCACCATTGACCTCCCTGAATGCAGCAACAGCACTGATTGCCTTGCGAGGTCAGACTGCCTTGCGTGGGAATTTCGAATGGCATTTGCAAGATCGACGAAGTGCAGCCTAAATCTATTATTTTAATTTTGCAGAGTAAAATCACTTTTATTAAATCTTGTACTCATTATTGTAAAGAAATAACTTCCTATCGTCACACTGTTGAATGCAGAATTTGATAGTTGCCTTCTACATTAAAATAACATATAAGGGATTCCCAGTGTAGATTTGAGTACAGTTAATTGCGATATATAAGTATTATATATATATAAATCAATCTTTTTTTAATTTTTTACTTTCAAGCATGGATGCATAGTTTTAATTTTGCAAATAATTTGAAAATGAATACGTCACGCAGTGACTCTTTAATTGTCGCGTTGAAATCTCTCTGAAGACCTCATATAACTAATTAATTATCTGATTAACTTGTCATATTTGAGACAGGAAAGAAATTACTGACTAGTGAATAATAATGTATTTTTTGTTAACACGGATCTTTGAAAATTTTGTAAAAATAATACTAGATTCAGGTGTATCTGTAGAGCAGAGGAAACATGGAGCTTGACATTGTTGTGACGTGAATGATTCGTCAGAAAGAGGTATGCGAATAATCTGAACAGGAGTAGGAAATCTTGAAGCTAAATCATCTCCAAACGAATTTAAATAAATAAGTGAACTCAAGCCAGTATCTTCCAGACTTCTCAACCCTAAATTTCTCAGACCCAAACTCCCCAATCCTAAGCTTCCAAGTCCTCCTAAACCCAAACTTCCTAGATTTAAACCACCAAGACCTAAATTAGAAAGCCCCAAACCTCCCAGACCAAGCTGACTTAAACCGGATGATTGCAAGATTTGTTTTTGCAGTTCACCAGCCACTACAGCAAGGGGTGGCGGCCAAAAGAAGCCATTGCTGAAATTGGTGGGGCGGCCAACTATTTCTTGTATTCTTTGATCTATAGTTCTAAATCTTGCTAGGGAAGGTACAGAGCCAATATACGGCGAGATAGGTCCGATTTGTGGAAGACCAGCAATCTGTGCTTTGATGTCAGCAAATACACAAATTCCAAGAAAAAATATAGTTCGCAACATATTTTGAAAATCTGGAAATTTTTCATTAAATTATAACAAAAACAAAAATTATGGATCTAAAAGCTAAATTCGCATGCCGTAAAGTAATATTTGATATTTTCTACAAGAATAATTAATTAAATTAATAAACATAACTCGAAAGATAATAAATGGTTACTACTTTTAATTGATGCGAGTACAATTTTCATCAAAATGACTTTGATGAGACGTGTTAGCGAATAAGTTGAAACTATGACAATAATTTTCTTTGCAAATTTACCACAAAATTCTTTTCATAGAGCTACAATTTACAAAATTAAAATTGGATTTTATCAATTTGGAAATAATCTAAAATAAATTAACATAGCATTACAAATAGTATTGCAATTAAGAAAAAGCATACGTATAAATTTACGGTAAGTTAAATGGCAAATTAGTTACAAAAAATTCAAAAAGGCAGTACAAAACTTTATAAGAAGCAAACTAGTTTTGATTCATTGAAATAAAAGTAAGTAGAAATGCTAATATGAATTCTAGTAGAGAAATACTGATCTGATCAGAAGGAAACTATTCTAAAGAATAAAGTCAACAATTACAATCAGTTTTTAACCTTCAATATTCACTTGAAATCTTATGTAATCGAATTGCAATTATGCATTTTGACATCATTTTTGACAGCAAACAGCTCACACAGAAATCCTTAATTCAAAAAGAATATTTTTTGAAAGGAATTCTGATTGAAAATTATAATCATATGGATCTCATTGTGCTAAATTATTAAAGTCATATTGATTAATATGCTTTTTTTTGTACAAAATTGTTATATTTTGGTAAATTGAATGCCTGAAGAATAAAAACTAAACAAAAGTAGTTTGCTTGCTTATCTCACTTTTCACTTTATTAAATAGAGCCAAGATTTGGAAAAGTAGTCTACAATAACCTGTTGAGCAGAAAATAAAATTAAAACAAAAAATACTCCAGAATTATCAAAATCTATTGCATTCTTGTTAATCTGTGCTAGAGTACTACTAGCTATACTTTGTTATAAATATTACTTAAAACTTGATTGTCAGCAGCTACTCCTTAAATACTGATCAACAAGTCTTGCTTTATTTACTATTTTTGTACTCTGCAATAGTTAGCTAAGTAAATACCAAAAAAGTTATTTATTTCAAAAATTTCACAAAACTAGCATTACGTCTAATACACTTTACTTATACCAATCTAGTCTTGTTTTCTTTACATAAACTTTGAAGAAAATGACCGATGAAAGGACTTTTTATTTAGTAATTGTTTGTCAAAGTTTTTTTAACGGAATTTCGTGTAGTCATTCAGGCACAGCTCGAATATTACTTTTATTTCTAATTATATGATCTGATAAATGAATTATTGTATCCAAATTGAGACCTGTTTATGGTTTTAATTATCAACAATGATGCCAAAGTCTACGCTTTATTTAATAAGTTGTATCATCCATATTTAGGTAATTATTCTATATAGCTTTATTTTTTCACATAAAAAACAAATTAGAAAATTATTTGATGTACGCAAGTCTACATTTTTTGACTTATTAATTGAATAATATAACTGAATAGCATAATTCTTATTTTGTAAAGTTATTCAAAAATGTTGAAGATATATCAAGGAATAGGTTTTGAATAGCAAACATTTTTTGACTTACTAAAAGTAAAAATTCTTACGACTAATTTAATTTAGCAGCCTGAAATTGACTGCTAACAAAATTATTTAGGCTGATGACGACATTTTATTTGATCAAAAACTGGGAACAAATCTGGTAATTTGGTGCAGCACAAACTTTACAAAACCTGTTTTTTGATCTGTATTCAAAATTTTCTATTACTTAAGTAAACTGAGTAAAATAAAGTAAGGGATCATCAGCAACAGCAATATTTTTCTTGAAATTAAGAGTTAAACTTTTAGCTTTTTTATATCTCTTCAAATTTTGTAATTTCGATCTCTACATGAACAACAAAAATAACTTTTTGTGCTATTCTTTTCCGTAAATCTTTTGTTGAAAACATGAATTTAAGACAAAAATATACATAAAATTCATATTTCACATTCAGTTTCTACGATTTTATCTTTCAAACAAGAATGTGTCATTATGTATATTTATAATTATACTTTCGTTAGACATAAAAATAGTCAAAATTAATTCGTTCTATGCGATGTTTTGTATGCATACTACCTTGCAATCAAAGACTGTCTCAGTGAGAACTAAAGGAAATATTCGTATTGAAAGCTATTGCATATCAGAATATTAAAGTTTTGACACCCTTAAAGCAAACTTTCTTATATTTAATAATATTATTTTATGCTTGCATATATTTTTATTTAAGCACTGCAAGATTATAATCCTTTTATTGATTTTCATAACTTATTCTAATCCATTATTGTTTAGCTTGCAGTTAACTTTAAAATAATAATAATAGCCAATTAAGTCAAATTTTTAAAAAGATAAATGCAGTGATTCAAAACGTATCTGAAGGAAATTTTGAATCATCTTAAAACAAAAATTATGTAAAATGTGCTAGAATCATAAAGATTGACGGATTTGGATTTTGCTATCAGTAATAATACTCTTCCTAACTGTAGTACTGACTATATTAAGATTCTGGAGAAGTTATTCTGGATTGAAATGATTGAGTTTTCTATGCAAAATTTTAATCATTTAGTTAGTAAATGGCTTATAAATTTTGCAAAAAATATTTTAAGTAGCTTAGTTTATTTGCTTGCCATTTCAGAAATAATAAAGTATACTCATTTTGATACCTTAAAAACTTACTAACAAAATAAAGTGTAGGTAATAACTTTTAAAGCTAAAAATTAATATGCTGATTTTAAGGTTCTTTTTCTGTCGACAAAATTATATTCAGTTAAAATGTTTTATTCTCATGAAAATGAAAATTGTAAACATAGTAATATTTGCTTGCGAAAAAATAGTACACAATAGAACAAATTCAATTTGGACAGAAACATTTTGCATTAATTACGGAAGAAAATTTTGATCAAAATATAAATTTTATATTACAAAAAAATTTTTAATATTTAATTTTAGAAATAGATAATAATGCATATATTTAAATTTATAAAAGAGAATAAATTTTAAAAATTTATAAATCAGTTGTTTCAGGTTGAGGAGTAGAAGAAGGTGTTGATAACTCAATGCATGATAGATACAGTAGTGAATCTTCATAACTGAAGCATCGAGTCCATCGTGCTCTTGGAATACTGCACATAAGTGATAGGCAATCTTCATTTTCGTATTTTTCATGTGAATCATTTTCATTTGATGTATTTTCATCTGATTCAGAAAGACTTTCTGCAGTTAAAATATCTTTTAAAGTACCGTAATAAGTGTTAATCGGTTCTTCGTCATCTTCATCAACTATTTCCCAACAAAAAATTTCTTCTTGTAATAAAGGATCATTTTGATCAAGAAATGCGCATATTTCTTCTTCTCCAGTATCTTCAATAACACTGCTATTATTGTTGGCTAATGCTTCTCCATCTTCATCTACATACTGCCAAGTAATATCTACTTCATTTAAAGAAGCTTTATTTTGATTCACTGCACTTTCAATTTGCAAGTTTCTCTGTTGTTCATTTGGTGCTTCTGTGCTACTACCATTCGACTGAAACAAATTAGCACTTCAGAAACATTCACTTCAGAAGTAACTCATACATTTCACTTGCTATTATAGCTTTGTTTTTGATATTATTCATCTAAAATTATGCGATTTTTCCTCAATTTCATGTTTATTAAACTTGAACGTATTTCGTTGTATCGGAAAAAATTGTAAAAAAAAGAAACTGAGTAAATATTTTTCGTGAATGCATGCAATGTATCAGAAATAATAATGAGATGTTTCAAGACCAAAGGCTGTAACTGTGCACTAGAACTATATTTTAGATCAAAAATAAAAGATATTCAATGAACTATATTTTGGATCAAAAAAAGAATTTTGTGATTGAATATAGCTTTATTGATTAACCTTATTCATGAAGGAAAATATCTGAGCATTTATGATGCCATTAGCGAATACGAGAATCAGTACTGAAGATGCGAAATTTGCTGATAATCGTGGCATCGGAATATGATTTGAAAGTTGCTTTGAAAATAAACGACCTGAAAGTCAAAAAATTATCAAAGATTGGATTGGTTCAACAAGTTTCGCTATTTATCATATTTGACTATTTTTAAACATAAAAAAATTACAAAAAAAATCTAAAAAAAAAGTAAAATACAAATTATTCAAGTTGTCAAGCACACTGAATAAAATAGTTTTTTAGCTTGCAATTTATCAACTTTTATTTAGACTAATAAACCGAAGATCATTAAACTGAATGCATTTATGCTAAGTAGATTAAAATATGCAGCAGAATCTATTTTAGTTTGTGTAAGATTTATAGATAGATGATAAGTGTGCTAATCGGATTCTATTGTTTTTGATGCAAACATGATGTAATTTGACCTCTGTAAAATTTTTTATGACTTTGCAAACTTGAAATCAATTTTTAAACTTTATTTAAGAAAGAATATAAATGATTCTTACTTATACTTATTTTGAATATAGAAAAACAGCAGTAAGAATACTATTTCAGTTTTGTAAATTACTGAAAGAAAATTATTTGCAGATCAGTTCAGCAATTCTTATTCAGCAATTATGATGTCATATTTCTGTAATTTGGCCAATTTGCTTAATATTAAATAAATAATAATTAATTAATTTGATTATAAAATTACAAAAAAATATTAAGGCATAATTTGCATATAAAAGTTTGAATGCATAAAAAGTTCTATTAAATTATGCATTTCATTTCTACTGTGTTGTAGTAATGTCAAGCAGCGAATATTTATCAAAAGCCAAAAATTATCCATCATTTGTTCGACCAAATTACTCACCGAAGTTAACATTCCGTGAAATTATTTTATAATAATCGAAATTAGCGTTTTTACTAATAAAATCATATATTTACCCGTATTAGTTGGTATCTAAAATTTTATAATCATTAATATTTCATAATTAAAAAATATGACTTAAAAATAAATCTGTTCATTTCGAGTAAACTTATTTATCAGTTCAAAAAATCGAAATTATGAATTTCTTTTCTAATAAACTTAATTAATTATTTATTTTACTATTATTTAAGATGCTGGTTTCAGAATAAGTACGTACTAATTTTTTTTAATTTTGAAAGGTTAACTTTAACTAACAAAATCATATATAATTCTGAGATTGTTTTATTTTTGTTTGTTTTGTCACAAAAATTGCAGTTTTTCAAAATTTGCATAATAGTTTTGCAGGATGCGTTATTATGTCTGCTTATTGTTATTAACTTCTCAAGGTCTTGGCCAAGTTTTTGTTCTTAGATGGAGCAAAGCACAATGTTCCATATTATATTATATTGCGCAAGTTCTTGCTATATTCCTTGCTGCTTTCAGTATTCAAGTTAACCTCTTTTTTTTATTTCAATTTTTGCGTACCTTTAAAAATGATTAATTAACAAAATGCCTTAGTTTATTTTTATTTATTAATAATTTGCTTTAAAAATATTATGTGGGATGATTGATCAGAGAAAAGTGATTTATTTGATCAATAATTATATTTGTAAGTCAACAGAAGCAAAAGCATTAAATCTGATGAAAAAATTTATTTCAGCAGTTCTACAAAATTTAGAATTTTAGCTTGAGAAATACACTTTAAATATAATTTTAAGCCAACATCAGTACTCTTCAAACTTGATTTTGACTTAAAATTTGATCAACTATTTTAATTTTCATACCATCTGAATATCCTAAATTGTAGTTAGTATAATACTAAACTCCAATTTTACTTGTAAAGTTCAATTTTAGTGGTGTCAACTGTATTCTTCCGGTTTAACGCGAGCAAAACGCGTGTTTTTTGATGAATTCAATGTTCTTAAAACGTATCAGCCAAGAGCTCGAACTATGGGTTATTTATTTATGGTATTATTTTTTAAAGCTCAAAATTAGAATTAAAAATTTATCTGTATAGCATTTTTAAGACACATTATTATAACATCATAATTACTCTGCAAGACTGGTTTGATTTGATGAATTGAATACTGAAAAATTAAGACCAAACTAAAAAAAGTATCAAAAAGTAGCCAAATTTTTAGATCAAAAATTTACGTTATTTATTATTAAATTTTAATAATTCTGTGCATTCTTAGTGGACTCAATTTCCTATACAATTTTGTAAATATTAATACTCTACATACATTTTGCAATCTATTTTATATGAGAATAAGTAATTAGCTTAAAAAGTTTAGCCAGAGCCTCCCACGCCAGTGCCTGAATGCCAACGCTCTCAAGAAAGTAATCAAAGTAACAATGAACGTAATGTTTTCTTGCAGACGAGAGATGCAGTATGTGTTATATTTACTATAATAGAAGACATTTTAAATTAGATTTGCTATAATGAAAGAATTACGTGAAAGTAGACGTAATCATTCAAACAATAACGAAAATAACTTTTATAGAGTTATTGCTTGCAGAAATTATCAATGCAAAATATCTAGTTTTACTTTGAGAGAAAAAATGCATCTAGGAAATAGATATTAAAAGAAATATTTGGTTTGCCTGAAGATTATCAGGCTTTTATTATTTTCATTATTTGTTACCCTTATAATTTTTTCTGTTATTAATCTCAATTTAATGAGGCATTCAATGTATGTACAATTTTTCCTCTACTTTTTAGCATTATGCAAATGAATATGCATATGTACAAAAAGTTAATCGGGAGTTAGAATCGAATAGAAAATTAATTGCAAATTCACGTGAAATACTGACAGAACATCCGAAAATTGAGGGACCTGTTTTGATAGAATTTCGAGCACAATCTGAAGAAGATGACGACGACTATTCTCTATGAATATTACTTCTGCATTGTTTTAAGATTGTTTTCAACGACTTCAGTTAAATTTGTTCTAAAATAAAAATTCATAATTAATTGCAGCAAATTTCTGTATCTGCTACGATGATCATTTTAGCTTGATTGTAATGCTTCAAGTGGATTCTTCTGTAGAAGTTATTTCGCTGTTATTAATAAAAAGTTGATAGATAAATCCAATCTTCTTATTACCACTACTTGTTGCTTTTATAAAGCAAACATTATTACTGATTTCAAAATGTGTTTTTGTGCCATTTTCAACGAATTCGCCCTAAAATTTGTTTACTTTCAGAATGTAAGCAAATAAATAATTAATAATATTTTCAGTGTTTTTTTGCTTTGATTCTAAGAAATAACGCTTAAAATTTCATATCCAAACGTGGTATTCTAATCCGAACATTAGCAAAAAATATTTCATACTTTTATCTTGTTAGTTTATTAATTCGGTTATGAAAAATTTGAGTTACAAAAAAAATTTGAATACTTACCGCAGTATTCATTTTTTGACCATTTACCCATACATCCATTGTTTCTTTATCTACAAAACTGTTCATTTCAACAAGCAAATAATTAATTTAGATATACTAAGCATTGATTGGTTACAAATTATACCTCATTAAAATATAATATTTGCTTTTGATAAACATAAAATACTTGATAATAAAATACTAAATACTATTCAAATTTTCGTTTAATTTCTTGCATTGGAATCTGATGAACGCTAATAATTCATAGATTGAATAAATAGAATTAATTAACCGAAGCAAATTCGAATGTCTTCGCCTGCAATAACTGTAGTCCAACTTTTTAGCTTCCGCTTCAATTCTTCATGAAATTTTTCATATGTTTTTCCATTAACTTCTAAAGTATACTGATAAGTGAATGCTCGTAATGATTCTACATTAATAGCGCACTTCAAATTACCAATGCTGAATAGTTCTTTCCCCGTAAGTTTGAACATCCAATTTCTTCTTAAAATTTCCTGTAATTTTTAAAGCAAATATAATAAATACATTTGTGAAGGATAATATATGTTTACTGAAGATGAAAAGCATTTATATTAATGAAAGTAGTTATCAGTACATAAAGTTATTAACGAAGTAAACCTTTCCGTCAACACGTATGACTCTTTTACCACTTGTTGTACCATGCTCGAATTCAATGATATATATATGTTCTTGGACAGGTACTGACCATCTTGCCACAGTATCCAATCCATTCGACATTGTTAATAAACTGCTTGAAATAAAAATAATCTCAATTTTTTTTAATTCCGTATTTTTATCACAAATTTTGGCTTAGAGTAAAGTATTCAAGAAAATAATTTAATTTGCTTGTTAAAATATAATGGAGTGAAAATCAGTGCTTACTTATTATTTTTGTCAATTTTGGTGTTTCTATAGCAACGTAAAGCTTTTCAAGTATATTTGTCTTGCCAGTTATGTAAAGTAAGTTTTCTAACATTCGTTTTTTAGGTAATCCATGCCTAAATGTCTAATATAATATCTATCATTCATAAGCTATAAATCTGCCTACAACAATCACAGAAGTATCGTATTTTACTTCCACAAATTTGCTGCAGTTTAATAATGACTTACTATTGACTGCAATCTAATAATCTTAAAATATCGATCTTTTATTATTTATTATTACTATTAATTAATTAATTAATTTATTTATTTAGTGCCACAGTACAACTATTTTTTGCAAAAATGGACAGCGGCGTGTTATTTGAATACAAATTCATATTTCTTGAATATATTTACTTCTATCTGATATGTAGTAAAGTTCTGTTTTTTCATGCATAAATGATTTTCAAGTAATATTATATACTTTCTATTGCTATAAAGTTCTCAGTGAATGACAATTTGAGAAATAAATACCTTCAAATATATTATCAAATTTGCGTACACAAATAAATATTATTTACGATAACACCAATCTTTTTGAGTTCTTCATTTACTTGCCAAAAATATGCAAGTAATTTTCATAAATGATTACTTATTATATGCGATTACATTTTTTCACTCTATTAAAAATCAAAACTTAATTCACAGTTATTCTTTTAAGATATCTCTGAATAACTGCCAATAATTCTTAAATGCTCCTTTACCAGCCTAATTTCAGCTATTTTTTTGTATTTATTTTTTTAGAAATATAATAACAAATTGTAATCAAAAGTGCAACTGAATCCTAAATATTTGAGAAGAAATAATACTTTAGGAGATTAAATGTAAGTGTTATTCACTCGAAACAAACTTAGAAATATAATTTTATGCTAAGTTCCCAAATTCCAGTATCCTTCTATCAAATGTTAGAATCACTTAATGAATTTAAAAACTATTAAACAATACCTATACTAATAATTTAATAGAAAATTTACTGTGGCTCAATTAACATTATCTATGCAATTGTGGCTTGCAGACAAAAGGAAATCAACTATAAGACAAGGATAGTAACGCGGTTATGCTTTCACCAACAAAAATCAGCACAGTTTGTTTCTAATTACGTAAAAAACTTATGATAGTCTGGCAAATTTTTGTAAAATTAAATGAAATTCACGCGGAAAATACCAGTAATTGACCTTTTTTATAATTATAATTGCTTATTAATTTTGACGTAAATTTTAGTATGTTGAAGTATAATTGATATAGCATACAGAAGTGTGGCTTTATTAAACAATTACCAAACGATGAAAGTACTGAGCAATTGTTCAACATCGTTGGCTCTATTGGCAAAGGATCTTATTCAGATGTTTTTCTTGCAATTCAACAATCAGATTCAAATTTCTGTGCTTTAAAGGTATAAATTTTTCAATTCTTTACAAGAGTTTTTTAATTATTTACAGTAGCAAACTGTAGTCATATTCGCTCTTTCTTATTAACTAATATCAATAATTGGTTCTAACTTTTTAAATCAGTCAGGATTAATACAAACGATTCTTCAGCTTATTTCAATCAAAATCTTCATAGTGAATATTGATAAATTTTCAAATTGAACAAGGCTAAATGAATGTCAAAGTGATATTAAACAGTTTTGGCAAATAATTATTAGATGATTAAAAAACAATGATATAACTTTGATAATGATATAATAAGAATTACTTACTGATTTATATAACTGAAGTAAACTTTAATGTATATGACAATTTTTCGAAAAAAAATCACTAAAATCATTATTTATTATTGGTTTGTGAGCCATAATTTTTGTGAGGTTAAGCAATTGAAATTTAAAATTTAGCGTATCTTCAAACGCCGAACACAGAATGAAACACAACAAGTAGAAAATGAAGTTGACATTCTGAGCAAATGTTCACATGTGAATATTTGTCGTTTGTTGAACGCATTTGAAACAATGTCAATGTATATAATTATATTTGAATATGCAAATAATGGTGATCTCTTTCACGTTATTGAAAGTGCTGGAAAATTTAATGAGTACACGGCAGCTACAATCACAACTCAGGTGAAAACTAACTATTATATTTATAATAGTTTAAGCTTACTGCTTGATTTTGTTATTATATATATAATTGCAATAATATTTAATGGTATCAGTTTCACATTTTGCATTACTGCAATAAAATTTCTCAAAATTTTCCATCACGTACAAGTATTGTTTTAGGTAGCAAATGCAATATCTTATTTACATGTGCATTGTATAGTACATCGAGACATTAAACCAGAGAATTTGTTACTAGCGCGGGATTTTACAATAAAGTTAGCTGACTTCGGTCTAGCATGTGTGGTACATGGACCAATGTATAAAATCTGTGGAACGCCAACTTACATCGCACCGGAAATGCTTGCTGAAAAAGGTAACTTCTGGTATATATTGTAATTTGTATACCAGTTTCCACTACGAAATACATTATAATTTGCATATTTCACTGTACCTACAGATGGACAGAAACATCCATATTGTTGCAGATGTATTTTCCGTCTGGCCATTTTTTTTGTATAGATTTTTTTCTCGTTATTATTATGTAATATTTAGTGATACTATAATTTATTATTAAAATGGCTAAAATTTATTGCAAATCTATACAATAATATTAAATGCAATTAATTTCTGGAACATTTTGAAATGATCGAATGATTAAAACTTTACTTTAGGATATGGAATGGAAGTTGACACGTGGTCTTTAGGCATTATATTGCATGTAATGCTCGTTGGTTATGCACCATGGCAATGTCCGGATCGTAGGCGCCTATTTCAGCTGATTACTTTATCAAGATTAAGTTTTGAGCACCATACTTGGTCAACTGTTTCATCAGGTACTTAAGTTCAAGAAAACAAGCAGAACGTATACATGAAAACAACCATTACCATTTTATATACATTTTGGGCTTCTGTGAATAAACCTCCACGAAAATAAAGCTGAAAAGCTAGCATTTGAAAATTGTATTTATTTCAAGTAATGTTACATTATTTGAAGAAAAGGATCTGTGTAAATATATGGATATGCTTATTAGCATAAAGTGTTATCCAATTTATTACCACTTAGCCATACTGAATAAGTAAGTCATCATTTATAGCAGCTAAAAACCTGGTATCTGGCATATTAACATGTAATGCTAAGGAACGAATAAACAGTCGAGAAATCGCATACAACCCCTGGATCATTGACACTTTACATAAAAAGAACTGAGCATTACAGGAGGAAAGGAGTAATACTTGATACCTTGCTCTTGTATTCATACGAAAACTTTCTGTCATACAATGAAATCATGTCATTCTTACAGATTCTACGTAAGGACGGAAGAAGCAACGTCTTCTCTAGAATTTGGTTACTTTATTCCATCTTTAATGAATGAATGAATGAATGAAATTCTTCAAAAAAATAAACATATAAAGCAAGTATATTGCTTTTATGCCATTCATTATCAATTGTTAGAAGAAAGAGTTGTGTTCTAAGCATACAAAAGTGCCAAAAAATCTTGTCGAGGATGTTAGTACAAGCAATTTGAATGTAATGAAAAAATTTATTCACATAATTGAAAAAGTATAAAATATTTATTTCGAATGAATAAAATAGGTCAAAAATTTGTTTGAATTTTTCAAAAAAGGAAAGGAAATGAAAAACTTAATGAAAAAAAGCATCAGCGCGTTTTTCTAATAATCAAAATGAAACATATTTCTAGTGTATTCGCAACTGCTTTCTAATGTATTCAGAGACTAATTTATATGTAGACATTTCGAATTCGTTGATATCCTTCGCAGACAATTTGATCTGATCACCCTTCAGTCGATTCACCAACGAAACACACACTACTGCTGCTGCAATATGACCAACCATTTTACTTGTTTATGGGATTGCGAATATTTTATTCAAAGCAACAAAATACGTGAACAACAAAATATAAGTAATATGAAAATAAATTATAAAATATCTCATTTTCGTTATGAAT